CCCGGCTCCGCGTCCGGAGAGCCCCGCGGCCCCGAGCGCGGGCTGGAGGGCGCGCTGGCCGAGCTCCGGGAGCAGCTGGTAAGGACGGCGCCGGACCCCCCCGGGTCGGGGTTCGCAGAACCAGGCGCTTGCACCTGGTGCGCTCCTTGGCGCTGGGCTGACCGCCGGCTTCAGGCGCCACCCTTTCGGGCTTAGGGCAGAATGCAGTTCGGTGTCAAAGTAAGTGGCTACGCGGCGCGGGGCGCGGGGTCCCGGCAGCAGGTTAGGGTCCCCGGGGCGGCCACGGGACGGAAAGCCGCGCCTGCGCCCCGCCGGTGCCCATGCGGGCCCCGAGGGGTGTTCCGGGTGTGTCCGCGTGTGTGTGGTTGCGGTGTTGTCCACATGCCCTGCGCTCCGCTGCCTTCCCCCGTGGGGTCTCCCCGGACGCCTTGTATCCTGCACACACACACACACACACACACACACACACACACACCGACTCCGAGCTGCCTGCGTTCGTTAGTCTGGGGGCCACAGGATCCGCGCGCTGGGCGCAGCCTCATTGCTGGCCGCGGAGAGGGTCGATGGGGTCGTCTTCCTAGTAAGCTGGCCCCGTGTGTCTGCTGCTTCTTCAACTTTAGGTGTAACCCGATCGGTAGAAAGAGGCGTGCCCCAGAAACCAGAAACGGGCAGGTCAAACCCGGCCCTTGGACGGTTTCTTGACTTTCTGACTTTCTGGGCGGCACTTCGGTTCCTCCCAACACCAGCTCCTTTCTCTGGCATTGAAGGTACCCGGTTATTACTCCTCTGTGTGATTTCCTTTCATTTTGGAAACATGTAAGAAGTTCTTGCAGGATTTCTTACAGAAAAGAAAGAAATGCTGCCGAAAGATGGCGACTGCATCGGATATCGCCTATCCCCTTCATCGAGTGACTTTTACTGGAAATTCAAGGCTGTGCCTTTTTATGGGGCGAGGCCTGGGCGCCTAGAGGCGGCGGCAGCCTCGCTCACACGGGCCGGGTCTTGTTGCTAGCGGTCCAGGGCTTGCAGGACGCGGAAGCCTCAAGTCCAGGCCCAACGCCCTGTGCTGCTGTCCCGAGCCCTGCTCTCTTCCCGTGTGACCCGTGGCACCGGTGACAGAGCCGGAGGGCGGGCCCGGGCAGGGCACCTGCTCTGCTGTGTCTTGATCCATGTGTAATCCGGGCTGCCACGTGGAGAGGGAGCTGGTGGGTCTGGAACCTCCCTCCTGCGCTTCCTCAGCCTGTGAGCTACTGAGTCCAAACGTGGGTGGTTGGGGTCTGTGGGCAGGTGCGGTCGTAACGCCTTCCTGCCTCCCGCGAGCACAGGACGGCCAGAAGGTGTCCCCTGTGAGGCTGACGGGCACTGCCTGGTGGAGCTGTTAGCGCCAGGCCACGATTAGCTGGGCTTAAGTCACACACGAGTCTCACTTGCGAGTCTCGCTTGCCGAGTGTGGCCTCTAATTACAAGTCGCCTCGCAAGGGAAGATCAAAAGTGCGTTTTGTTTAAATTTTTTTTTTCTCTTTATGTGGAGGCCAGAAGGAACTTTGTCCTGGAACTTTGTTCTCCCAGCAGATTGTGTGATGAAAAGACAAGAATTGAATTGGTGTGACATCAGCCCAGCATGGAACACTTTTACGTGTTTCTTACCCAGAGTGATGGGTCACTCTGTAACAAAGGACACAATCAAAAAACTGGAGTGTGAGCCCAGCCAGCTCCTCGCCCCAGGAACCCGCCTGGGGTTTCCCTCTGCACTGCATGCGGGGTTCGCCCTGGTCACACGTCAGGTGTGAAGACAGGAAGGTCAGGTGTGAAGACAGGAAGGACGGTGCTCCAAGCCTTGCCAGCATTGTCCCGCGGGACTTCTCAAGCGCCAGTGAGCCTGGGGACTCCCGCAGATTTAAAGTCCCTTTCACCAGGTACACACTTCCCAGCACACCCTGCAGCTCTCTCGTGGCCGGGTCTCAGCTACAACAGAGGATGTATTTGCTGAATAAATGTGAGTGGCTTCTCTGGCTGTCACAAGGAACCAGATACGCATGTCTGTGACCTCCGCTTCTGTTTCTGAGCTAAGGAGAATGGGGCAGCACTGACCCGAGGCCCGTGTTAGCACCAAGGCAGCCACAGAGAGGTTGACATTTCCGCTTGGTGACGGGTCAGGGTGCCCAGCGCACCTCAAAGGTCCAGCCACCCCCGCCAGTGCCCAGCAGAGTCACCGTCACCCGCAGGGGTGGCTGCCGTGGCCCAGAGGTGCGGGCAGAATGAAGAGGGCTGTGGGGACTGGCAGGATCCATGGTGGCTCTGTGGTTAAAGCACTGGGCACTGCTAACCAAAAGGTCAACAATTGAAACCCACCAGCAGCCCAGAGGGAGAACGATGAGACAGTCAGCTTCCGGAAAGATCACAGCCTTGGAAACCCACTGAGCTCCATGGGGTCTTCGGTGGCCCTCGTGTGTCAGAGTGGAGAAGCACAGGGGAAGGGCCCTGGCAGCACAGTGGTTAAGTGCCTGGCTGCTAACTGGAAGGTTGGTGGTGTGGACCCACCTAGTGGCTCAGCCAATGGAATCACAGTCAACACCAGTGGATGCAGCAGTCAGGACATCAGATGACGTGTTGCACTGGGCAAATCTGCAAAAGAGCTCTTTCGAGTGCTGAAGAGCAAAGGTGTCTCCTTGAAGACTAAGGTGCACCTAACCCAAGTCGTGGTATTTTCAGTGAGAGCTGGACAATGAACAAAGAAGAGTTGATGCTTTTGAGTCGTGCGTGGGGCTGGAAAAGAATGCTCAGAGTACCATGGTCTGCTGAAACGACTAACAGATCTGTCCTGGAGGAAGTGCAGTCAGAATGCTCCTTGGAGGTGAGAATGGCCAGACTTTGTCTCACCTACTTGGGTCACGTTTTCAGAAAGAACCGTTCCCTGGAGAAGAATATCATGCTTGGTAAAGTGGAGGGTCCATGAACAAGGGGAAGGCCCTCAATGAGACGGATACAGTGGCTGCAACGATGGGCTCGGGTGTGGCAAGGAGCGTGAGACCGGCACAGGACCGGGCAGTGTTGGTTCTGCTGTGCATAAGGTCACTACGAGTCGGAGAGGACTCAACAGCACCTAACAACAACAGCAGTGGCTCAGCAGGAGAAAAGACCTGGCTGTGTGCCCCTGTGAAGACTGTGCTCTGGGGAACCCTGTGAAGCAGCCCCCTCAGTCCTGTGGGGTCTCGGCGCTGGAATGCAGTGCCCAGCACACGACACCACCACCCGAACCGAAGCGCTGTCATGGAGTTGGTTCCCATGACCCTGCAGGACGGTGGGGAAACAGCCCTGGGGTGTCCCAGGCTGCGGATCTTTATGGAAGCTGACTGTCCCATCTTTCTCCTCTGAGCAGGACCGCTTGATTAGCGGCCAAAAGCTTTAAACAACAACCAAAGGCAAGAGGAAGGGCTAACAAGGGGGGCATAAGCCATGGCCGTGGGTCCCTCGGATGTAATGACTAACCTGTGAGTCCCTGGGTGTGCGGTGGGCCGCGACCATTATTCAGAAAGCTCTACTGAAGGGCCGGTTGGGCAAACATTAATCGCAGGCAGGGGCTCCTGGGCAAACATGGGGCAGAGGCTGCGGTCTGTTTTCAGGAAAGGGGGTTGGGGAGGGAGGAAGGAAGTGGGGGTCGGCGCGTCTAGAGACACTCTGCCGTCATTTGCCGGAGAAGGTGTCAAATATTTGCTTTTAAACATTAAAGCACAAGGAACGTAATTTTCTTGCGGGCCCCCAGGTTGGTTTTATGGCCAGAAAAGAAAAAGCCGTTGGCAGCAGAAAGTGCACTGGTCCCTTGGTTTGGATGCAAGCGTCTTCTCTCCAGGGGTCACAGGCCCGGCCCTCCTGCTGTGCTGCACAGGTTGTCACCAGTGCCATTGTTCACCCGAGGAACACGTTCCCCTGCAAACATGGACAGGTGAGTGGGCGGCTCCCTGAGCCCGGCCAGGCGTTCAGACTAAGTGGAAACTCACTGCTGCCGCGCCACGCCCACTTGGGGCCCACGCCCGTCTGCGCACACACGCCCGAGGGTCTGCAGGGAAGTGGGAAGTGCCCGGCCTTCCTTCCCTGCACCTCTGGGTAGACACGGACTGCCGGCTTTGCAGGTAACGGCTGAGCTTGACCATTCGCGCCACCCAGGGACTGCTGAGAGCATAAAGTTTTTGTTTCATTTGGATGATTTTTGTCTTCTGGCTTCAAGGCTGCGTTACAGCAAGTGGCGGTCCTGGGACCCCCTGAGGTGGGTCCTGGGGGACAAGTTGTGTGTTGACCTCTCGTGGCCCACGGTGCACTCCTCGTTAGACACTGAGGGCCCATCACCTGTTGTGGTGTGTTCCTACTGGACAAGGCTGTCCACGACTCATTCTGTGCCACGAGTGGGAAATTAATTACTCGTTTCTCGTGAAGATTTGTCAAATGTTTGAAGTCATGAACGTGACTCCCTTATGCCCCAGAATTGATACCTGTCACATTCCCTGTATTTCCATAGACAGGATGGACCACATAATCACATTCATTAATTACCTGCCTTCTACTTCATTGCTCATCGAAACAAGAAAGTGTGCAGTGAATTTTTAAATGTATCTCCTTATTTCTTAGGTGAAAGTTTACACAGTCAGTTAGGTTGCCATAGAAATGTTTTTATACACAAGGTTCTGTGCCATGGGTTATAATTTTTACAATGTATGACACTCTCATTGTTTCCACTCTAGTTGTTCTGTTTCTGTTGGTCTAGCTTCCCTGCCCTTCTTACTGCTCACTTTGGCTTTTGTGTAAATGGTGACTGTTTGGTCTCACCCAGTCAATTGTTTAAGGGACACATTATTACAGGTGATATTGCTTATTTTGTGACTCAATCTATTGGATAACATTGAGAAGAATGGGAATTCCAGAACATTTAATTATGCTCATGAGGAAACTGTACATAGACCAGGAGGTACACAGTACCCACAAGGGGGTACTGTGTTGTTTAGAATCAGCAACGGGGTGTGTGTGCATCAGGGTTGTATCCTTTCAGCATTCTTGTTCAATCTCTATGCTAAGCAAATAATCCAAGACTTTATGAAGAAGAATGTGGCATCATGATTGGAGGAAAGCTCATTAACAACTTGTGATATGCAGATGACACAACTTTGCTTGGTAAAAGTGAGGATGACTCGAAGCACTTACTGATGAAGATTAAAGACTACAGTCTGCAGTATGGATTACCTCCACATAAAGAAAATGAAAATCCTCACAACTGGATCAATAAGCAGCATCATGATAAATGGAGAAAAAATTGAAGTTGTCAAAGATTTCATGTTACTTGCATGCACGATCAA